ATAAGCCAATGAGAACCAACAGAGAAAGAAAATAAAAAGCAAATTCAAGGCTGATTTTTCTCAGAAAGTTGTTCCAATGAAATAAATCAACTAAGCCAGAGCCATGCTATAAAAGTAGTAAATAATGACAGCCATTGTCTGGAGCTGCAAGCTGAGATCAATTCATGGCGTAATGACAGAGAGAAGTACAAAGAAATGCGTAAGAATGGTTAAAACCCACTAAAATAATTGGCTAATATTAATGTTAAAAAAGCTAGCAAGAGGAAACGTGTTCAGTATTTTGCCGAACACTTAGAAACATCTCGAAAAAAGAATAACTGGTATAAACATGCTAATTTACTTTTATGATAATGCTGAAAAAGGTAATCGTCCGAAAATAGGCCGGATTTCCTACAGATTGAATCAAGGTGCGAGATGGTTCTAGACGAAAATAAGTTGACACTGCTCACTATGTAATACGTATCAACAGTCGAAAGATGATTGTAAATAACGATAAATTAGGCGACAACAAAATCAAAAAAAGCCAAATCCATTAGGAAAAGTAAGCATAATGGAGAGGTAACAACAGCATAAGAGGCAGGCAAGTAGATGGCTATTGCAAAGTGGATAATAAAGGAGCAAGATTGAATTGAAAAGTCAAAAAAGCAATACTAAAGAAAGTACCAGTAAAACAGTCTTTAAGAGGCAAAACATTTTAAAATTCAGGCTAAGAGTTAGACATCAAAGCTCAGTTAAAACAGCCAAGTTTTGTCGTAAACAGGTACTTGAGAGTCCGTACGAAAAAAGGGAATAGATACCAAATGCCAAGTTATTGAGTAAAGCTTTGGTAAAATAAAGGCAAATATTCTAACACTAAAGGAACAGAGAAACTCTGAATACAAAATAAAAAAGATCACAAGAAGTGAGGATGAGATGATAAGCAAAACATTGAATGCATGTCACTCAGGCATGGGCTTAGATCAGGTCATATGAGCACAAAAAGGAGCTTAGTGTACTCGCAGTTTACCTAAGGAAAGAGTGATTAAAAAAGCATATAAGTGCAACAAATACAGCAAAAAAGTAATCCAATACAGGCGAGATAGTTCATGGAAAAATCCGAAATAAACTATCAAATGAGAGTCTTGGATAAATCGCTGTTAATTAGTGGGCATAGTGCCACTAACTCAGAATAAGACAAAAACAAGGAACAAAATGAGGAAAATTTGTCCCAAATAAGCATATTGCTAGGCTATGATAATAAAATAATTTAAGCACAGTAAGTTTTTTTGGGCGATTCGGTCGCATGAGGAGAATTAAGCAAACATATGTTAAGTTAATATGCTTACTAGAGTTAATTATGAATAACAGATGGCAGTGAACTTGCAATTAAAATTGTTCGCTACTGAATCAAAATGAGTAGTATGG